ATGGGATTACACATGCTTGCCACCACACCCAGCTAAGTTCTTTTGGGTATTTTTAGTCTAGTATACCTTAAATATGCTCCAAACACTTAATATTTGTCTACAGTTGGGCAAAATCATCAAATAGACTATTTTACAATAAAGTACTCACTATCTCATGTAATTTATTGAATACTATACTGAAAGTAAAAAACAGAATAGTTGTATGAGTACTCAAAATATGATTTCCACGGAATGCATGTTGCTTTTGCATCATCATAAAGTTGAAAAATTGTAAGTCAAACCATCATGAGTTGAGGAGTGTCTTGTGCTTAGAATAATTGGTTACTGTATTAACTGATATATTCGCTTTCTCTCTTAATGCATGCCTATTGTACTCCAGGTACTCCACACTGGATTTGGGGGAGTCTTACAGAAAATACTATGTAATCTCTACTTTGAGAACTAAAGCCTAATGTAAGAGACAGAGAGTATTGCTCTCTGATTACAGGACAATGTAGTATGTAACAGGATGCACAGGGCGTAGTGGGACTGCAGAGAGGGTGAGAGGAGAGGTGGTGGTATAGGAAAGCTCCGAGGGTGTGAGTTGGAGGCAGTCTAGTGATTAGAGGGCAGGTTGTAGAATCTGATGGTCCTTGTTTTGAATTCTAGTTCTGTTGTTGGAGAATTATGTGATTTGGGACAAGTTAAATAACTTCCCTAAATTCATCTGTAAAATGAGGATAATACCTATCTAAGGCTGTAAAGATTAAATGTAATGTAAAAAGTTTAGCAGCACAGTGCCTGGAAGTACATAAGAGGTGCTCATTAGATCAGAACTGTTAGTGTTAATCCTATTACTGCTGTAGCTGTGATTCTTTGAAGGCTTGAGTAGGAGTTAGCTAGATAAAGAAAGGGCAGAGGAGAATACCTTTCTGTAGACAGGGAAGAAAATATGGGAGGCCATGGTGGCTAAAGAATATTTGGGGAATAACAGCAGTATCTATCTTGATTCTATTGAGATTTAAATATTTAATACATGTAAAACACATAAGCATTAAAAAAATCAGTTGTTATTCTACTTTTAGAAATATTACGCTGTGCTATACTGTCTCATAGGGCTTGGGTAATAAATTTTAATCTGGCGTTTATTTTTTAATCATTTTGCTGTTTTTTATGCTTTAAACGTTTGCTGTATGCTCTTTAAAAGAGTTACCTACTTTAAATTCACCACCATCTGGCCAGAAAAAAAAGTCTCTGCTCATCTGGCCAGAAAAAAAAAAAAACCAACAACAGTTCCCATTATTCCTTGTAAAATTCCTTTCTTACTAAAACATCTGGGTTCCTTTTGCATCTTCCCTGATATTCTTCTACTTTGAGGCCATCCCTCAAAGTTTAGTTTTTAGTTCTCACTTCCGTCATCATTTCTGTTGAAGAGGTAGATGCTCTTGTGGCTTCCCATGTCACTTTTACGCAGAACTGGACCATCAGAAGTTAGGCATCGTCGTGCTTAATTAGCCCTGACTTACTTTTCTCTTAAGTTCCTCTTAATTAGATCTTATGATATCATAACATTTCTGCTTGATATATTCATCTACTGTTCCACAATTGTTTCATTTATTTGATTCCAGAAATAATTAGAAGAGAACTGATCTAGATTTGTCAGAGTTTCTTTTTTTTTGTGAGATGGAGTCTTGCATTGTTGCCCAGGCTGGAGTGCAATGGCATGCTCTCAGCTCACTGCAGCCTCTGACTGCTGGATTCAAGCGATTCTCCTGCCTAGGCCTCCCAAGTAGTTGGGATTACAGGCACCCACCACCACGTCTGGCTAATGTTTTGTATCTTTAGTAGAGACGGGGTTTCACTCTTGGCCAGGCTGGTCTTGAACTCCTGACCTCGTGATCTGCTCACCTCAACCTCCCAAAGTGCTGGGATTACAGACGTGAGCCACTGTGCCTGTCTGATTTTTCAGATTTTTACTTTGCCAAGCTGTGATAGTTGAAAAACAACCAGACTCACCATGTACTATATTTCATTCTTTTATACAGAAAAGGATATTTTAATATAAAAATTTAGATGGGAGGTCGAGGCGGGCGGATCACCTGAGGTCAGGAGTTCTGAGACCAGCCTGACCAACTTGGAGAAACCTCGTCTCTACTAAAAATACAAAATTAGCTGGTCATGGTGGCACATGCTTGTAATCCCAGCTACTTGGGAGGCTGAGGCAGGAGAATTGCTTGAACCCGGGAGGTGGAGGTTGTGGTGGGCCGAGATTGCACCATTGCACTCCAGCCTGGGCAACAAGAGTGAAACTCCGTCTCAAAAAAAAAAAATTTTAGAGAGACTGTAGCCTCAGAATTTAAATATATGTAGCTTTAAAATAATGTAGTATTTCATAGTTTTTTTCTTCTTGCTTTAGACTCTTGAAAAATTTATCAGATAGTGAAAACTGCTTTACTTTTTATTTCAAATTTTTTTTTGGCCAGGGGCAGTGGCTCATGCCTGTAATCCCAGCACTTTGGGAGGCTGAGTTGGGTGGATCATTTGCGGTCAGGAGTTCAAGACCAGCCTGACCAACATGGTGAACCCCCATCTCTACTAAAATACAAAAATTAGCCAGGCATGGTGGCAGGCACCTGTAATCTCAGCTACTCACGAGGCTGAGGCAGGAGAATCACTTGAACCCTGGAGGAAGAGGTTGCAGTGAGTCGAGATCATGCCATTGCACTCCAGCCTGGGCAACAGAGTGAGACTCCTTCTCAAAAACTAACTAATTAAATAAAATATATTTTTTGAGTTGTGGTCTTGTTATGTTGGTCACATTAGACTCAAACTCCTGGGTTCAAGTGATCCTCCCGCCTCGGCCTCCCAAGTAGTTGGGACTACAGCTATACACCACCATGCCCAGCTGGTGAAACACACGGCTTTAGAGTAAATCTTGTACTATCTTGATACTGATCTTTGTGACTTTGATCATGTTTTTCAGTGATTCAAGTGTCTCACCACTGCCTTCTTGAAAAACATCTCATTTCTTAGACCTTTATAGTTTGACTCCTGTCCTCCTTTCTAGTCTTTTTCCTCATCACATTTCTCTGTTACCAACTTTTTTCTCACAGTAGTTAGTGATCTTTGTAGTTGGGATCCAACTAATGCCGTTCCAAATCTCGCTCTGCGGTTAGCTGTGTGGTCTTGAGCAAGTCACTGTAATGAGCAGAAAAGCAGACTCTAGTACCTGGGGCTGTGGTATGCGTTCGTCATACACTCAACTTGTTCAACTGCAGGTGTATTCCTGGTGCATGGGTGGAGGATACCAATAGTAACTACTTTAAATCATTGTTTTCTCATGTAAAAACTGAGAGTAATATTTTTTTCACAAGTGTTATGAAGATTAAATGAGCAAACTTAAAACACCTGGCAGGGTCCTTGTACTTAGTAGATACTTAACAAAAACTTGCTTTTGTTGTAGTTCAATTCAGTCTTGGTCCCCTGATTGGGGGGTTATAAGGTCCTTGTTTTAATCTTTTCTTGCACGTGGAATGCGCAGTTCTCATCCTTCAAGACTCTGTCTAAAATACCTTCTTTTCTGTGAAACCTTTATATCTTCTGCTAATCTCTGCTGTCTCTGAACTTAACGTATCGACTTTGTATTGACTTTGTTATTAAATCATGCTCTACCTGTAGCATCTTTGTAGTTACCTTTTACTATTTAATCCTTAATTTTTTCACATACTTAATGTTTTGTTCAACTAAATTTTTCTTTAAGAGTGGGGTTGGCCAGGCGCGGTGGCTCATGCCTGTAATCCCAGCACATTGGGAGGCCAAGGTGGGTGGATCACAAGGTTAGGCGATCGAGACCATCCTGGCCAACTTGGTGAAACCTCATCTCTACTAAAAAATACAAAAAAATTAGCTGGGCATGGTGGTGCATGTCTGTAGTCCCAGCTACTCGAGAGGCTAAGGCAGGAGGATTGCTAGAACCCAGGAGGCGGAGATTGCAGTGAGCCGAGATTGCGACACTGCAGTACAGCCTGGGCGACAGTGCGAGATTCCATCTTAAAAAAAAAAAAAAAGTGTGGGGTCTGTGTTTAAAAGGAGACTTTTAAACCAGTCAAATTATTTTATAGGAGCTGATTTCTTCAAACTTGTATCTTGAGTATCTTGTACCCAGCAAATGCTTTAAAATAATTAATGCAAAAGGAAGAGACTATGTCATCAAATTTCACCTCTCCTAAATATTGTGGTATTGTAAAATTGACATAAGCTAGATGCTTAGTTCAAAGCTGATATGGTGCCTCTGTGTACCCCCCCGCCAATCTCATCTCTAATTGCTTCTGTGTCCCCACATGTCAAGGGAGGGACCTGGTGGGAGGTGATTGGATCATGGGGGCAGTTTCCCCTATGTTGTTCTCATGATAGTGAGGGAGTTCTCGTTAGAGCTGATGGTTTTAAACATGGCACTTCCTTGCTCTGTCTCTCCTGCTGTCATGTAAGACATGGCTTACTTCCCCTTCTGCCATGATTACAAGTTTCCTGTGGCTTTTTTTTTTTTTTTTTTTAGACGGAGTTTCGCT